ATGGATGGGCTCCTTAGATGGCTTCTCTTTGAACCTGGCCCTCTCCAGCCACTCTGCTCAGGATATGACTTTCAGGGACTCTGATCTGGGGATCATATAGTGATGCAATCTGGGTCAGCCCCATCTGAACAGAGTGCTGAGTCGCAGTGTGAGCAGGGCAACGCTTTGAGGCAGCCCCAGCTTTGGGGGTTAACACAGAACACTTTATCCAAGAATGGGATGTAAAATCCAGCAGCCAGAGTCACAGGCAGGGAAAGCACAGGTTTACTCAGTGAAAGCACACTTGAAGTAGAGAGCACAAACTTGTATTTCCAGATACTCTTCAGTTCCCAACTTCTCTGAAAACTGCAGTGCACATCTTCTCCCCATCACAACACCTACCAAGGCAATGATCCAGCTCACGTGATTGCAAGTGAATTCTGTTTAGATGAGAGATCTGTCAAATGTGTGTGCATGAGAGCTTCAGCACAGCTGTAGGTTAATAGACAAGCAGGAGGAAGACCCCATGTGGAGCAGATGCAATGGTGTGTTTCAGACCTAAAAGGAGCATGGGATAAAACAGGAGCTATCAAGGAGTCAATGGTACAAGGCAATACAGCATGTTAGCAAGAGACAGAAAAGCGGCCCAGGGGAGAAGAATGGAGACAAGCCCTGGGGCAAATTCTGTTTGTCTCTTTGGCAATCCATGTAGCGAAAAAGAGAGAGTGCATCTCTAGAAGAAAGATGGACAATGAGGTAAAATCCTGCCAGGGAAGGAGGAGTGGGGAAGAGGATTTATTAGCTCAATTTTTTAGGCAATTCATTTTGCTTTTCAAGAGGCTTTAAAAAAAAAAAAAAGGCAATGAGTCAAGAAGCCCTAAATTAGCTAGGAAGGCACTTTAGCAAATTAAGGGCTTGATTATTCTGTGGTTTGCCCTAGATTCAGGAGAAGGTGTAAAATATGCAACAAATATTACAGGGCTAGCTGCCCCCATGGCTGCAGCTCCACCTCATAAGCTGGAGCATGTGTGCTGTAATGGAAAACATCAGCCCCTTTGAAACTTCCAGGAAACCCACGTTAACTTGGTGCTGTGATACTGCCCTCAGGAGAAGTCAGAAATCCAGGCATACCTTGCTTGGATGTACACAAAGGGTACTGGAAGAGGAGATGTTGTCCCAGGCTCCCTGACCTACAGCACTGAATTGAAGCAAGGGCAGTAGTTGAGTGTGTGAAGGAGCCATTAGAGAGTGGTGAGGACACTGGGAACATGCTGTCTCTTCACCATATAGCTGTGCTACAACCTTGTGGGTGACCTTGGAAAACGACAAAGAGAAAAGAGTCTTGGGAAGGAGACTGGCTGGAGAGAAGGAGCCAGGACAAACCCATAAAAACTCTCAAAATTGTCTGAAACCCCTCTGGCATTTCTCAGCCTCCTATTCCTGCAACACGACCAACGTTGGCTGGTCTCCTCTCCCGCTGTCACCCACTCCTGCACTTCTCTCAGCTTCCTCTCCTACTTTATTGGATTGTACCAGCCTCTCCCAAAGCATCAACTTCATTTGAATCCCTCCATAAGCTCTTCCAGTCTCCTGACCTACAGGCACCAAAAAAGAGTTAGAAAACCCCTCCTTGCTCAGAGCAGCCCTGGTCCAGCTGGGTTTTGCCTCTCTTTTAGAGCTGCCTAAGGATATATCAACAAACAAGTCAGCTCACCTCTGATCCAAGAAGGGCATCATTGCAAATCAATGTGAGATTTTCTCTTTTTGTCCCTAATATCTTACTTTCCTGCATGAACCTGGCATGGGTGTGGGCTCCCTGGATCTCTCCTCCGCATTGCAGCTGTTCACATGAACCACGGTAAGGTCAGACTTTTACACATGCCGCTAACTCGGTACCCTGCGCTATCCAGTAAGAAGTAAACTGGGTTTCAAGTGCATGCTAGCTTATCTCCTCCCTTACCAGAACAAAGCTCATAAGAAGGAAATGTGAGGCCTCCCTGAGGGTGCTGGGAAGACACGGTGGATAATAGGAAATTTTTGGAAGGAGATTTGAGAAGTGGATTTTACTCACTCCTTATATTGATAAAGGCTTATCATATTCCTTTGCAAAACCAGAAACCACACGGCGAGACACCGTTTTTAAATGTTAATGCATCTTTAGAGAATAATCAGTAACGTTTGATGGCTTGTGCTAGCTCTAGGAGAGGCTTCTTTGTTGTTTAAGAAATGAAACAGCATTCATCTGGAGTTTCTTGTCATTACTGGATGAAAGAAAGGTTATTTCTTTAGTAAAAAAAAAAGAAAAGAGAAGATCTGAATGATAAACATTATAAAATACTTATCTTCCCAGATGTCTCTGGGATAACGTGAGCTAAAAGGAAATGCTTATCTCACTGACGGACAGCTTTTGGCAACATGGCTTTTTATACAGTGCTAAATTATTTTAAGAGCACAGGACAAAGGTAGAGGGATCTCCATAAAAGACTGAAATACAGACCAGATGTAGTGCCCATTCATGTCCTGCTACGGAATCACTGTGTAACCTTGGGTAAGCCACACAGTCCTTTCTGCCTCAGCTTCTGCATTGGGAGAATAATTGGTGTAACAACTGATACGAAAAGTATTTTTGTGACCATCTACAAGTTTATTGTATGAGTGTCAGTGTTGCGTGATTATGTATTTTTAAACACAGCTTCCTGTATGTACTGTTATCTAAAGAAGCATTCCCTCATTAGCCGGCAGATTTATGTGCTTTTTGAAGCAATCCATGAGCCAAGTATGGTTCACCTCTAGGGCTGGGTTCAGCTGCATATCAATAAGCAGCACTGGCCGTCAGCTGCCCAAAGCACCCACTTCCTCAGGCATAAAGTAGCAGAATCTATCCTGGATAGTCTTTGATTGTTCTCGAGAACGGACCACATTTTAAAAATAATTACAGATTTTGGTGCTTCCAATTCTGATGTCAAGTAAGGGGTGCCCCGGGAAGGCTGCCTTCTGGAAAACATGAGGGCCTTTAACCAAATGTAAAGCCTTTTTAGATATCTCTTGATACACACATAAAGTGGGAGGCCAAAATCACTATTCATTTTTGATATTCATAGGCACTTCCTTTTTTATTTTTAATTTTGTTTTTAAGATGATGCTATGTCTCCTCATTTTATTACCTCATCAGGAATTTGTCAATTTGCTGTTTGCCTTTTAAACATTTACTTGCTTTTCTTCATTTTATAAACCCTGCTGACAGAATGTAGAAATCATGTCAGGTGAGGAAATGTATTTCCGTCCTGAATAGGTGCATTCTGCTTTCTCGCCCCAGCGAGCTGCTGTTTCACACATGACAAAAAGATTCCAGTCTAGGGAGAATAATACCTAATCGTTAATAAATAACTTGTACAAATAAGAACCAGGAGTGAAACTACCATCTGATGGATTTGCCTGTGAGGAAGTTAGGTCATTGTGTGACCTTGGATGATTAATTTTACATTCCTGTGTCTATGCTTCCTCCTCTATCCATTCTTCTGTCTTGTCTGCTTCACATTCAAGGTAGTCAGGGCAAGGACTATTTCTCATTATATGTACGTTTAGCAGCCAGCTCTATGGGTATTACAGCACTGTAAAATGCATGTATGAGAAGCAATACCCAAGGGCAGAGATAAGAGTGCACCTTGCACATTGTGCATTGGATCATGGAGTTACAGACAGGTGCGATAACAAGCCACAGACCTCTCAAGTCCCCTGTCCCTTGTTGGGGGCATTGCTCAGAGCCCCATCCAACTTGACCTGGAATGTTTCCAGGGATGGGGTATCCACCACCTCTCTGGGAAACCTGTGCCAGTGTTTCACCACCCTCAGCGTAAAAAATGTCTTCCTTATATCTAGTCTAAATCTACCCTCCTTTAGTTTAAAGCCATTCCCCCTTTTCCCCCTTGTCCTGTTGCAACAGGCCCTGCTAAAAAGTCTGCCCCCATCATTTTTAGAAGCCCCCTTTAAGTACTGATAGGCTGTAATAAGGTCTCCCCGAAGCCTTCTCTTCTCTAGGCTGAACAACCCCAACTCTCTCAGCCTTTCTTCACAGGACAGGTGTTCCATCCCCCTGATCATTTTCATGACCTTCCTCCGGACCTGCTCCAACAGGTCCGTGTCTTTCTTGTGCTGAGGGCTCCACAGCTG